AAAATAATTTATAAAGGAACTAGGAAAGTTAATAGTAATAGTAATAAACATTATATAACTGTTGTTGTATAATACTACACTACATTATATAAATTTTTTGGTTTAGTTGAGATTTGTGATATTTTTAGTTCTAACTTGTGTCCAAATGTAAGCAAATTAAATTTAAATCATAAATCCATGATTTTTTTAATATTGTGCAAAAATATCTGAAACTAACATCTGATATGGTTTTGTTATCTGTGTTTTTCTTTTCAAATTCATCACTGTCAAAATTAATTAAATTTACTAATAATATTTAGACTATAAGTTGAGATTTTTTGTATTGTATAAGCAAATAAGATCTAAAATCGGTTCAGTAGTTTTGGAGTCCATTCGAGACAAATATATATATATATATATATATATATATATATATATATATCTGCCACATAAAATATTGATTCGTCTTTCGTTCACATATAAAATGAGCACGAAACATTTGTACTGAATAAATAATGAACCAAGAGATATTTCAAGTATTAGCAATCGTTTATTTTTGTTAGACGATGATTTAAATTGAAATTGAAAAATAATGTTTTATTTGTACATCGATTTAGAATCGTTACAAGAGAAATTTGATGGGTATCTAATAATATTCATAGAATTTGAAAAATAACAACAATAGATGGTATATTTATCTGAAAACTTATTACTTACATATTGAATTTTTTTTTATCAGTAATTCAAAAATTGTAATAATAAGGTCATCTAACAGAGATAAAAGGACGTCGTATAAGTAGCTTATTCTCAATTATAATGTTTTATTTGTTTTATGTACTACTTTTTCCATATATTTCTACTTGTATGTTTTACTTTAACTATATTATTATCATAAGACTAATTTGTCAAATGATATATTTATTTTTCATGACAATAATTTAGTTATAAATATGTTTCTTAATATTTATAGAAAATTCTAACTAAAACTTTATTTAAAAAAAATGAGTCAAAAATTGAGATTTTGTCTTCGCAAGAATTTGGCATATTAAAATATTTCTGAAGTAAAATTTAAAAAATGCATAATATAAGATATTGCATCAAAGTAAGATAAATATGTAAAATATTTAGAGTTTATTAGAAACAAATGAAAAAATTTCAAATAATTTATAAAATTACAAATTTGCTTACTACGACCTTTACTAAAAATTCTTATATCTTTTAATGTTGCCCAGTATTTTTTAAATCATATTTTTAGGAAAACCTATTGGTAAGTTTTTTTTATCCATAAAAAAGTAAAGGAAGCAGTTTTCAGACAGTGGCTTAAAAAAACACTTTATTGAAACTTCATAAAAGTTTTTAAAACTTTTTGAATAATGATCGACTAACTTGAATTAAATTTTTATTTGTTAATCAACTCTATGTTGCGTTAATGTAAATCAGTAAAAATAGAATAGAGTAGAATTATTCAACAAAAAATTAAATTATTTTGAATATTGAGATTTACAAAATTCCGAAGTAGCCTAGACCAGCTATTACCAAAAATTAAGTAATACAATTACTGGCTCGTATATTATAAAAGAAATTGAAAATTTTTTAAATTTGATTATTGAAAAAGCTTTTTCGTAATTTTTGCTGAATATCTAATAATTTGGTACAATGTTATATTAAAATTCAATAGAGCATTTATATTTTAATAAAGGAACAATTTTCAAATAGTGACTTACAAATTTTGTACTTTATTGAATAACCTAATTAAAAGAATATTAAAAACAATAAAATAATAATAGTAGACAGGTGATATATTTTGTTATCTAAATATTCTGATATTCAGTTATTTATATAAATATTAGCTAATTCTTTGTTTTCTATTTGCAATAAAGAATTTACTACTTAAAAAACAACATATATTAACAAACAGAGAAATATTTCAAGTTTTTTCCACTCTATTGTTTTTCTAGTATTATTTTTATTATTCACTAATGTTATTTATTTTATTTATTAATTTTATTATTATTATTATTTGCTTTTATTTTGTATTATATATAATATTATATACATATTTTATGTCATAATACGGATATCATTGTATTAACTAGTTGGTTTGGTATTTAGCCTTGAGGCAAGTTACATGAACTTCCCGAAATGTGTAAATAATCGACTTAATCAAAGAAAAATGTGTAAATAATATACTTCATTAATCCTACTTTTTAAAAATCGATAATAATTTTAGCAAAATTTGACGAATTTTTAAAATTAAACTACTTGTCGTTAGGCCATAATATTACAGTAAGACCATGATGTATATCGCCAAAAAAATTTCCATGAAAATCGGCTTAAATTTTTTTTTCAACAGTTAATTACAAGAAAACGGCTCGGTAGATTTTCACCTAAAATTAATCAGTATCATTCCCAACTAATATCTTTCGAACAGTTTTCGATATTTTAAAATCGGTTCGGTAGGATGAGCTTAAATGTCGACGAAAATTTAACACTTTTTTTCAACAGTTAATTACAAGAAAACGGCTCGGTAGATTTTCACCTAAAATTAATCAGTATCATTCCCAACTAATATCTTTCTAACAGTTTTTGATATTTTAAAATCGGTTCGGTAGGATGAGCTTAAATGTCGACGAAAATTTAACACTTTTTTTCAACAGTTAATTACAAGAAAACGGCTCGGTAGATTTTCACCTAAAATTAATCAGTATCATTCCCAACTAATATCTTTCGAACAGTTTTTGATATTTTAAAATCGGTTCGGTAGGATGAGCTTAAATGTCGACGAAAATTTAACACTTTTTTTCAACAGTTAATTACAAGAAGAAACGGCTCGGTAGATTTTCACCTAAAATTAATCAGTATCATTCCCAACTAATATCTTTCGAACAGTTTTCGATATTTTAAAATCGGTTCGGTAGGATGAGCTTAAATGTCGACGAAAATTTAACACTTTTTTTCAACATTTAATTACATGAAAACGGCTCGGTAGATTTTCACCTAAAATTAATCAGTATCATTCCCAACTAATATCTTTCGAACAGTTTTTGATATTTTAAAATCGGTTCGGTAGGATGAGCTTAAATGTCGACGAAAATTTAACACTTTTTTTCAACAGTTAATTACAAGAAAACGGCTCGGTAGATTTTCACCTAAAATTAATCAGTATCATTCCCAACTAATATCTTTCGAACAGTTTTTGATATTTTAAAATCGGTTCGGTAGGATGAGCTTAAATGTCGACGAAAATTTAACACTTTTTTTCAACAGTTAATTACAAGAAAACGGCTCGGTAGATTTTCACCTAAAATTAATCAGTATCATTCCCAACTAATATCTTTCAAACAGTTTTTGATTTTTTAAAATCGTTCGGTAGGATGAGCTTAAATGTGGACGAAAAGTTTTTTTCAAATTACAAAGAAACGGCTTGGCAGATCGTTGCACAAAACTGACAAACGATAGTCCTCACCGAAATACATCAAATGGCTTTTAAATTTCTAAAATCGGTTCAGGCGTTTTTGAGAAAACGTCGATCAAAAGTCTAATTTTGACAAATGCCAAAAAGACCATACTGATTTTGCAAACTTTGACGAATTTTTAAAGCTGAACCAGTTGTCGTAGGGCCGTAATATTTAGTATGATCTAGAAGACTATGGTATCTATCGTCAAAAAAATAATCATAAAAATCGTCGAAATTTTTTTTTTAAAAAACTTTATTACAAGAAAACGGCCCGGCCGATCTCTACCAAAAACTAATCAGCACGATTCCCAACCAATATCTTTCGAACGGTTTTTGAATTTTCAAAATCGATTCAGAATTGCGGGCTAAAACGTAGACGAAAAATTTTTCACTTTTCTGCCATTTATGAAGAAACGGCTTGGCCGATCGTCGCACAAAACTGACAAACAATAGTTCTCGTCGAGATACATCGAATGGCTTTTAAATTTTTGAAATCGACCCAGCCGTTTTCGAGAAAACGTCGATTTACGGCAAAAAATCTGTTCACATACACACACACACACACACCACACACACACACACACACACACACACACACACACACACATATTTTTCCAAATTTGGTCTCATTCGATTCAGAATGGCTTGAAACGTCGAGAAAACATAAAATTAGCGAATCGGGTTTTTTGATGAAAACATAAACTTCTCCTTCGGGAAGTTAAAAATACTATCCTTTATTTTGTACTCTATTTTATCTATATTTATGTTATTGTTAATTATTGTTACTAAATATTGTATTATTTAGCAGTTGTAACAGATAATGTAATTAAAAAAAAAAAAAAAAAAAAAAAAGAGTTTTGACATATATACGATTTATCTTGTTGAACTTTTTAACCATAAAAATATTGAAGATACTAAAGAAATAATTGTATTACTAATTGATGATCAAATTCAATTTAAAATTGTTAAAAAAATTATATAACCAAAACTAGTTTAATAATCTCTGAGTATTTAGAAAGTATTTGCAAAAATAATTGTAAAATAATAAAATAGTTTGTCCAAAATATTTTTAACATAACATATTGTATGATAAAAGAAATATTTAGAATATTTTAATAATAATAGTATAATTAACTGGTCATGAAATGCTATTCAAAATTGGTATTAAAATTTGCTATAATAACCACTAATTTAATAATATCTCATTTGAAAAATATCTGTAAAAATAATAGATTTCGTTCAAAATATTTGTTAAACTTATGGAAAATAATATGTATTATTACAAATTGATTTTTTTAATTAATAAAGACAAAACTAAATGGTTAACATGATTTTTATACTACAATAATTTAGGTAAAAATAATCCAGAATTCAATTAAGAATAACATATTAGAAATTAATTGAGACTAGTAAACTTGGTCTTTTAACGTATCTAATACTATCTATTTAAATTTGAATATAAATAACTTAGTTTTTTGGTATAAAATTAAATAAATTAGTTAATGTCATGATGAAGTGTTATTAATTAAAATATAAAAAATACATATATTTTCATTATTTTCAGGTTTCTTGGATAAGACGTAAAGATTATCATTTGCTCACGGTGGGTTTGACGACTTATTCAAGTGATGAAAGATTTTCAGCAATACATCTACAACATTCTGAGGTAAATAATAATGATATAAAAATACTTTTACTCTAATTATTTCTTAACCTTATTCTAAAAAACTTAATTTTATCCTCTAATTTTGTTCCATTCAATGCAACTCGGTTTGAGCTCAAATTTGTGAATGATCGAACAAAATTTAAATATATTTAAAAAAATCAAATTTGAAAGATTTTTATAAGATGGAATTTTTATAGGACTTTTAAAAAATATAGCAAGTTGTACAAATTTATTCGTATTTGGAAAAAAAATCTTACAAACATTTTACGCAATTTTTTTTTTAGTTTATTCTAAGTAGCTACTAAGAATTCAAGACAAATTTTCTGTGTGAGCAGTAATGGAGAGAAAAATAGTAGAAAAATAAAATATAAAATTTTATTAAATTGTAAATTTAATTTACTATATGCATACATATACACAAATAGACATATGAAAATTTTATATCTCTATAATTGAATAAATGCGAATGCAAACTATGAATACAAAACTACGAGTACAAACGCATCTGTGCCGTTGGCGGTAAATCCGATTTAAAATGATTATGAAAAAATCCTTTTACATTCAAATGTTCTTTTAGACTTACTGCCATTAACAAAACGTGTGTGACAGAATATTTGAAGTATTAAATAAATTTAAAATTTCTCTATAACATTATTTACAGAGAACCGTAACAATGTGAATGTTGCCAAAGCATAGTAAAAAAATTATAAAAAAAATGTAGAACTGAAAAATAATTCTGTTGTTTGAAATAGTACACTAGTAAAAGCCTTATAAAATTTTATATTTATAGTTTGCAATTTAATGTACATATTACGTTTCTTAAGATTTTATCTTATAGTGCACTTAAACATATGTAGTACGTATTTTCAAATTATATGTCGGAGTTCTCTAATTTTCATCACTTATTTTTTATAAATTTATTATGGTATTTATCAATAATAATTTTTTTTTTTCAGGATTGGACACTTCAAATAAAATTCGTTCAAGCAAGAGATGCTGGAATTTACGAGTGCCAAGTATCGACGCACCCTCCAACGAGTATATTTATACATCTCAATGTTGTGGGTGAGTAAAAATATTTAAAAATATTTTAATATTAGTACTTTATTTTCATAATCATAAAGAATTTTGAAAATCATAAATGCAACATTGTGCATTAAGAAACTTTAAAGAACTCACATATATTTGGTTAAAAAGCTCTTCTAAAACAACTTTTACTTCTTGATGTCAGATATTATTTGTTAGAACAGTAATCATTTACAAAGCTTAACTATGCTTAGAAGAAAATTTCAAAAACATGGAGAGATCAAAATTGAGAATAACTATAATATTTCCTAATTTTCATAAATATGAATCAATGCTTAATTTTGAGAAACCACATATTTTTATAAGAATACTTTTAAAACAATTTCTAGTCTTTTCTTACTAATTTTATATCATATTATTTACGTAAATTTATTAAAAAAGTAATTATTTAAAAACAAGCCACAAAAATCATATAAAAAAAATAGGAAAAAATATTGTATCAAGGACATATTTATTGCAAAAAAAATACAGATGGAATTAGAGTACGAATGTAATTTTCAGGTATTTTTTTTATTACACATTAGGTCTATAATGAAATTTCTAATAATCAATTAAGTAAACAATGAATCTTTTAATAAGTGATGTAACATTTTAATAATAAGTTACTAAACTTATTTTTAGATTTTATATTTATTTGTTACGAAAATAAATACTAATTTTATTAAATTTTATTTATAAGGTTTGGAATTGTTTACACAAAAATCTAAAAATAAATATCAAAAAATCACTATTTTAAAATTCGTACTTTTTAACTTCCCGTAGGGTAAGTTATTGTAATGGGCCGAAAATCGGAATTGAAAATTTTTACATTTCTCGACGTTTTGAAGGTTTCTGAACGTTTTGGCATACCTCAGAAAAAATGGATGTGTGTGTGTGTGTGTGTGTGTGTGTGTGTGTATGTATGTGTGGATACAAATTTCCAGTCACGTTTTAGGGCGCACGGATCAACCGATTTGAATGGTTCAAAAAACATTCGATTCCTATTGATTGGGAAAAGAGCTGATTAGTTTTTGGCAAAGGCAGGTCCAGCCGTTTCGGAGATACGGAGCAAAGAGTGCAGAAAATAGAAATCGAATTTTTGAGCGAACGGAGTATCCGATTTGAATGATCTAAAAAACATTCAATTAGTAATGATTGGGAGAAGTGTTTATTACTTTTTGGCAAAGGCAGGCCCAGCCATTTCGAAGATACGGCGCTAAATATGTAAAAAATGACAGTTTTTGAGAGAACTAAGCGTCCGATTTAAATGATTCAAAGAACTTTCAGCTTGTCTTAACAAAATAATTGATTTTGAAAAAAAAATTTTGTTCCATTTTTTTTTTTTTTTTTTTTTTTTAGTATTTTGTATATCGAAAATATTTCAGATTTTATTTTTAATTCTGACTATAGTTCTAATATGCTTTACAAATAATTTCAACTCTGCAATTTGGTTTATATAATTCTTATAAATATTACACAATGTTACGATATTTATAATAATCTATTTGAAAACATTCAGTATTCCTCGAACATTTCGTTACGGTGCGGGAAGTTCCAGCAATTTGCCTTAAGGCACGATGCCATAATTGCCTCAAGACAGAATTCCACTTACAGCTAGTTAGTATATTTTTAACTTCCCGAAGGAGAAGTTTATGTTTTCATAAAAAAATCCGATTCGCTAATTTTATGTTTTCTCGACGTTTCAAGCCATTCTGAATCGAATGAGACCAAATTTGGAAAAAGTATGTGTGTGTGTGTGTGTATGTGAACAGTTTTGCCGTAAATCGACGTTTTCTCAAAAATGACTGGACCGATTTTAAAAATTTAAAAACCATTCGATGTATCTCGATGATCTGAGTTTTGTGCGGCGATCGGCCGGGCCGTTTCGTTGTAAATTGCAGAAAAGTGAAAAAATTTTCGCCCACGTTTTAGCCCGCAAATCTAAATCGATTCTGAAAATTCAAAAACCATTCGATAAATGTTGGTTGGGAATCGTGCTGATTAGTTTTTGGTAAAGATCGGCCGAGCCGTTTTCTTGTAATAACGTTTAAAAAAAAAAAAATTCGACGATTTTTATGATTTTTTTTTTGACGGTAGATACCATAGTTTTCTAGGTCATACTAAAATATTACGGCCCTACGAAAACTCGTTTAGCTTTAAAAATTCGTCAAAGTTTGCAAAAATTGGTATAGTTTTTTTGACATTTGTCAAAATTAGACTTTTGATCGACGTTTTCTCAAAAGCGCCTGAACCGATTTCAGAAATTTAAAAGCCATTTGATGTATTTCGGTGAGGACTATCGTTTGTCAGTTTTGTGCGACGATCTGCCAAGCCGTTTCTTTGCAATTTAAAAAAAGTGTTAAACTTTTCGTCCATATTTAAGCTCATCCTACCGAACCGATTTTAAAAAATCAAAAACTGTTCGAAAGATATTAGTTGGGAATGGTACTGATTAATTTTAGGTGAAAATCTACCAAGCCGTTTTCTTGTAATGAACTGTTGAAAAAAAAAAATTTAAGCCGATTTTCATGGAACTTTTTTGGCGATATACATCATGGTCTTATAGAACTTACTGTAATATTACGGCATTACGACAAGTAGTTTAATTTTAAAAATTCGTCAAACTTTACTGAAATTATTATCGTTTTTTAAAGTAGGATTGATGAAATATATTATTTACACTTTTTTTTTATTAAGTCAATTATTTACACATATCGGGAAGTTCATGTAACTTGCCTCAAGGCTAAATACCAAACCAACTAGTTAACTTCCCGTAGGGATAGTTATAGTAATCGCAAAAAAATCGAAAATGAAAATTTTTATATATCTTTGCGTTTCAGAGGTTTCTGAACATTTTGGCATACCTTAGAAAAAATGGATGTATGTGTGTGTGTGTGTGTGTGTGTGTGTGTGTGTATGTATGTATGTATGTGCGTGTGTGTATGTATGTGCGGATACAAATTTTCGTCGACGATTTCGGGAACACGGATCAACCGATTTGAATAATTCAAAAAACATTCAATTCGTATTGATAAGGAGACGTGCTGATTAGTTTTTGGCAAAGACAGGTCTAGCCGTTCCAAAGATACGGGGCAAAAAGTGCCGAAAACGGTAACTCAGTTTTTAAGAGAACGGAGTGTCCAATTTGAATAAGTCAAAAAACGTTTTACTTGTATTGACAAGATGAAGAATTGACCAAATTTTCATAAAGGCAGGTCTAGCGGTTTCGGAGATCTAATGAAAAAAGTAAAAAAAAATGCCATTTGGCGGTCAAAAATGATCATTAGACATATGCACATCAAATTATCAGATATTTTATAGAGATTTTAACAATAAGTATGAATTTTGTTTACATTCCTATGGGTTCCGTACCAATGTTTACGCGTTAGACGGCGACGCGGCGCTTACGCGCTTTGATATTTCGTCTTTATGCATGTAAAGCAGTACGATTGCTTTCAAAAAAGGTCAGATCTTCCAAAATATGTCAAAATAAAGAAAACATTTTTTTTTTCAAAAAAAAAAGAAATTTAAATTTTTTTTTTTTTTTTTAAAAAAATTTTTCAAAAAAAAGTAATTTTTTGTCCAATTTATAGTTTCTCAAAAATCTTATTTTTTCGAAGTAAATTTTTTTCAAAAATGTTAATCGTTTTTAAAAAAAAATAATTTTTGGTACGGGAAGTTTCAGCAATTTGCCTTAAGGCACGATGCCTTAATTGCCTTAAGACAGAATTCCACTTACAGCTAGTTATAGTATATTATTGCAAGACAAATTCGAAAGCTGATGTTTATAATCGTCTAAAAATGTTGAGAAACGTCTGATAATATTCTAGATTTTTTTAAATTATTTGAATTGTGCAAATTGTGTAATAATGTAGTAAATAGACCAAAAAATTCTCAAATTGTCAACCGAATTGAAAACCGTCTGAAAACTGAATAAATTTTCCAAAAATTCCGCAAGTTTTATGAAAATGTCACAATTTACTTGCATTAATCGATTTTTTTTTAGAAATCGATAAAATCTGGTGAAAACGTTACAAATTATCTCGAATGTGTGAACCGTCTGAAAAATTTGCGAAATGTCTGATAATGTTGCAAATCATCTGAAAATGAGGCAAATTGTCTGAAAATATTGAACATTCTCTAAAAAGGTTTTATGATTTATCTGAAAAAGTTGCAAATCATCTTAATCATCTGAAAACGTTGCAAAACTTTTAAAATTGTCTAAAACTTTAGCAAATCGTCTGAATAATATACAAACTTTCTTTCAATCGCCAAAACTTTGTAAATAGTCTAAAATTTTTGTAGATATTGAAAACATTGAAAATCGTCTGAAAATATTGAAAGTTATCTTAAAATGTTGCAAATTAAAAAAAAAAAACGTTGTGTGTGGTCTGAACAAATTTAAATCAAACTGAAACTACATTTAACATAAATGTTTCTTTTTTTTAAGAAATATTGAAGAAGGAGAACTAAAATATTCTGTACCTTACGTTATATATCATAGTCTCATCATAAATGATATAATATGATAAAAAAAATCTGGTTTTTACAACTTAGTATCATAGAATATTGATTTGTAAATAACAAAAATGTGGAGGAACTTAGATACTGAATATAATGTAAATAATGTAGATAATGTAAATTAAAATTTGTACTTACATCGGCAGTAGATGGTCAGGCAATTAATTGTCCAGTCGCAGATTTACCTTTAACAAAAGAAATAATGCATTATTAACATCAGATGAGATTTATCAGATACACTAAAAATCTATTTAATTTCTCTACAAACGTTAAAATGTGTTTTCTCAACTCATAATCGTTTTCGTTATCGGTTTCTCAAATTTATGCAAATATCTGGAACGATTTAATCGTCTATTGTAAGGGATGTTATAATATTTGTTTCTGTGTTAATACTGGAGGAATTAAATGCTTAAATACCTTTAATACGAGGCGTAATCGATATGGATGGTTTCGGGCTGAATTTATACCTTATACAATAGAAGGAGTGCTTTAGAAGCCTTTGCGAATAATATATAACTTGGTGATGTTGTAAATTGCTTTTAGGCATGATTTCATACAGCTACCATTCACATAAACAAGTATCATATCGATGACTTCATAAGAGTAAGTTTGATTTGTAGAAGTTTTCTTTTGCCAGAAAATCCGATTTGCTGATTTTACATTCTCCCGACGATTAATTTTACTGTTACAATGTGTAAGAAATGTACATCATGTAAATTTCCAACATACAGCATTATAATGATACCCCCGTACATCTATATTATTGTTCTGAGTTTATTGCTCTATTTTATGATTAAATAAAACCAATACTAAAATGGAATGTATATTGCATAGTAATCCGTGACGTGGGAGTATAATATATATAATACTAGGAGAAGATCCGTAAAGTAAACAATATAATCGAATGACATGTAATATAATCGTGAATCATGTGCAATTGTAATAAAACATGAAGCATTAAACATTAAACATTGATCGTGGAATACACGAACATCATCCAGTGTTTTGCTGTTTAATAAAACAGTGATTTCCAATTTAGAGATATATCATTATTTTGATACAACTAATATTGCGCGCACAAAAAAGCTGCAAGAACTTCGGATACTTATTCATCATGATAATATACAAGATTATAGATAAAAACCCTAGATATTTATCTTTTTTTTATAGTTGTTAAACCCTCCATAGTTTATTAGTTCAGAGTCCAATTCATATTTATTTACAGACATTTTCATATTTTTTTATTAACTTCCTGTAAAATAAATTATAGTAATTGCAATCAATCGAAAATTATATTTTCTGCGTTTCTGGGGGTTTCTGAACATTTTGGCATATTTTAGAAAAAAAAATTGATGTACATATGTGTGTATACGTGCGTGTGCTGATACAAAATTTCGATTACGATTTTAGGCACACGGATCAACTGATTTGAATAATTCAAATAACATTCGACACCTATTGATAGGGAGACATGCTGATTGGTTTCTGGCAAAGATAGGTTCAGCCGCTTCGGAAATTCGGAGCAAAAATAGCAAAAAATGAATATAGTTTGGATTATTAAAGAAACATCTCACTTGCGTGAAAAAATGATGAATTTTTTCGGAAAGCAGGTCCAGCGGTTTCAGAAATTCAGAAAAATATGTTCAAAAAATGCCATTTGTCGGTTAAAAATATACAATTATACTATTAGATGACATATGCACATAAATATATCAGATAATTTACAGGGATTTTTTTTTTTTTTTTTTTTTTTAATTTTTATTTTCAATAGCAATCAGAATACATAACTATTCTATGAGCTATTTGGCTTATGTCATTCACTCACACACATACACACACACTTGTAAACACACATATAAATTTATCGGATCAATATTACAATCATATTCAGAGAATCACTTCAATAAATGATTCAATTATTCTGTTTATATAAGGTTGTGGTAGTTCTATGGTTCCTCCATATTATCTTCGGGCAGCTTCTTCTTCAGTCTTCTTGAAGTTGATTTTGAACTTTCATTTTTTTTTTGGGATCGTTACCATGTGTGTTAAATTGTTAATCATGTTTAAAGTTTACTTAAATAGTTTAAAAAAAATTCTCGACATTTCTGACACTGTGAATCAACTAACTAAAATGGATTTCAAAGATTTAAAAAAATTCAAAATTTTCAAAAAAGTCGATTTTTTTTAGATAAATTCAAAATTTTCAAGAGTCGATTTTCATACAAAAATTTCAAAAATTTCATTTTTTTTTAATTTCAAATTCTTTGAGAAACGATCGGCCAAACTATTTCTTTAAAATTAACACAAAAATGTTTTTATACTACAGTTTTCGCAAAAATGTTGCTATCTGAAGTTTATGTATTTGGGCAATGTTTTCAAATTTTTTTTAATAATTATCTAAATAGACTTTTTATATGAAAATAAAATGTTGTATTATAAAAAATACAAATTTGGAATTTGGCTGTGGGCTTAAACAATGCTAATTAGAATCTATGCTGAGCATGTGTTTAGTCGGTCCACTTGAATAAAATGTGTTAAAAAATTCATTAAAGACATCAATTGGAAATCGCATTGATTATTATTTTTAGTAAGAGCAAAAATTTTATTTTCCGAAAAAAGAGTAACGCTTAATTTAAGTAAAAGAGTTATTTAAATAGCTGAACCTCAATTCATATGTAATACCTATCGGGAAGTTTATGCAACTTGCTTTAAAGCAAAATAGTATTAGGTTGTCAAATATCTCCCTTCCGCTTTTTTGCTCTTGGTTTATAATACAAAAAGGCGGAAGGGAGATATTTGACAACCTTATACTTACAATTAGTTATATTATTTAATTGAAATATTTATCTTAATTTTCATCTATTGTGAGTTTTTAACGTGCCATAGGGTAAGTTATAGTAATCGTAAAAAAATCGAATATGAAAATTTCTATATATTCTACGTTTCAGAGGTTTCTGAATATTTTGGCATACCTTAGAAAAAATGGATGTATGTGTGTGTGCGTGAATGTGTGTATGTGTGTGTGTGCGTGAATGTGTGTGTGTGTGGATACGAATTTGCGTCGACGATTTTGCGAACACGGATCAACTGATTTGAATAATTCAAAAAACATTTGATAACAACTAATAAGAATACGTGCTGATTAGTTTTTGGCAAAGGCAGGTGAATTTTCAAATAAAATCAAAATATAAAAAAAAACAATTTTTTCATAAAGTAAATTTTTTTCAAAAGTTTCAAAATTTCTCAAAAATTTAATTTTTTCGGAGTTTTACTAAGTTTTTTTTTAATTTAGTTTTCGGTACGGGAAGTTCCAGCAATTTGCTTTAAGGCACAGTGCCATATACCAGTAGTTGTTGTAATATTTGAATGATTTATTATTAAAAGTTAGTAACTGTATAAAACAATTCTTTTTCCAGAGGCGAGAGCAGAAATATCAGGCCCGACCGAGAAGTACCTAAAACTAGGCTCCACTCTCCGACTGGCCTGCTCCGTGGTCCAGAGTACGGAACCGCCGATCTACGTCTTCTGGTACCACAACAATCGGATGATAAATTACGATGGCGACCGCGGCGTCAACGTCACCACCGAGCTGGCGCTGAAACACAGCGCCCTGGTGGTGACCACGGCGACGCCCAGACACACGGGCAATTACAGCTGTGTGCCCAACAATGCGCTGCCGGCCAGCACTTATGTGCACATTCTGAATGGTAAGTTGTAGAAATTGACAGATAAATATAATTTTATATAAATTTACTATATGACCCGACAGACGTTGTCCTGTACCCATGTCTACAAATTTTTAAAATAATACACTAATTGGATAACTTTTTAAACTAAAACATCTGTTGTAACGGTCGCCGTAAAATTATAAAATATCATTTCATTTAACGGTCAGGAGAAATTTTGTTAATCCCGTAAATAGGGAACGATCCTGCCCGGTTTCGACGGCTCATGTAATAAGGTTATAAAATAAGTCAATAAAATATATTCCGTCGGGCCTGAAATTCAGATAAACATTCAGTCTAGTATTAACAGTTATAGAAGAAGGACGTATTTGTAAAATAGTATTAAATAAATTTAACGTGAATATAACAGCACATTCATTTTCTCAAACAATCATCGTGGAGATTTCACATTTCGCCGATTATAAAAATTACAGTCCACTCAAGAAGCATATCAGCATCGACGTCATGTAAATCGCTCCACTAATATTTACCGTGGTACTTCATGCTGGATTAAATTAATTTAATTTTATATTATTTAAGATAACCTAAATTGCATCTTAACCTTCTCCTAATCGATATCGCGAGGGGCCGAATTGTATGTATTTATCTTTACTTTCACATTTGTTGTTATAAAGAAAAATTTTTACGAATTTTGAAAATATTGTGAAAAGATTAATAAAAGATGCAAAAAAATTATATATTGAAAAAAAAAACTACATTGAAAATTTAATACCTGAATCTTGTGTTGGCGCCCCCTAAGGCGTGCGCTCGTATTTTTCGCCGCGCTGATGAATACTTAATTTCATATTTGAAGTACAATAATTTGTCATATCCCGTTTTTATGTGTATCATTCAATCTGCCATATATATACTATATTTTATATTATTTTAATTTCTGGCACATCTCTGCTGCTATTAAATTTATTATACATATTCTGATATTGTCTAAGTTCATAAGTGAATTGAAATTTTTGGCGGATGATAGTTTCATTTGTTTTCAATGCAAACAATGACATGTCGTTTTTTACAATTTTTTTCATTCATTTTTACAATATTGCACATACATTCCAGTACTTTATAATCACATACATCCTAGAAAATTTTCTTAAACTTCAGAAAGATTTATCGTAAACCGCATAATCGTTTCTTTATATAATAGCAATAAAGCCCAAATTGATTCTACGTTTTAGTTAAAAAAACGTTTGTATGAGAATAAGAAAATGCTGTTTTTAGGATTTTTCCGGCAATTATTCGACTTTTTCTCGCCGTAAGAACCATCCTTGGACATCAACAAAAAAAAAAAAAAAGAATTGGCCAAATTGGTCCAGGCGTTGTAGAGTTTTGCGGGTACCAACACATTTTGCGATTCAATTTTATATATAAGATGTAACTATAAACAATTTAGAAATAATCATTAAAAATTTTAACAGATAATTTTTTAATACAATAATTTGGTTCGAAATTATAAAGGTTTGTTCTTATTTTAATATATAAAATTTTTAATGGTAATTTTTTTTCTAATATATAAAAGTTGCTGTTTGTATGTTTTGTTTTAAATTCTTGTCAAATACACCATGCTTAGTAGAACACAAACAGTAAATTTTCGTTTTTTTTACATTAGTAATTAATAATGAAAAAATTGAATATTACAAATAAAGTTAGTCATTAATATTTTTTCGCTTTATATTTCTACAAAAAACTAGTAGCAACTTGCATTCTGTTTTCTCCAAAAAATTAATTTGAATTTATAGTTAATATCGAGTAAATCATAAAACGTTTAGAATAAATTTTTAAATTTCTTATATAAATTTAACCCTTTCCACTCGGATGCCGCCACTCCGGCGGCATAGTCATTTTACCGTTGCGCTCGGATGCCGCCTCGTGTCGGCGACGACTCGTCGCAAACTAAACTTACATTTAATTTTTTTTCATTTTTTAAAAATTAATTTACTATTACATTTATTTATTGATTGATTTATTAATTTTATAAATAAATATATAACAAAATTAATTTAATAACTCATGATTCCCATAATTCTAATAAAGATCTGTGAAGAAATGATTTTTTAAACAGAATAGCATGGTTTTGAGTGCAATTTTTTTAAATTTTCAAAATTTTCTAATTTATTATCATAATAACTATATTTAAAAGCAATATAACCACACTTTGAAAAAATCCGATACAAAAAAAAATTCCGAGTTGAGAGATAAGTATAGCACTATAATATTCCGAGCGCAGCGTACCGACTGGCAGTCCGACTCCCGAGTCGAAAGTGTTAATATTTAATATCATGATCAAAATTTTAGACTAACAGTGATAATGGAAGCTTAAATATTCCGATTAGTTTGAATTCTTACTGTGTACAAAAATAAGACCCTTAAAATTTCATAAACTTACTCACAAAATAACTATCAATTATAGTTAAAAATCATTAATAATTATATCATTATAATAAAATGATATATTATATACTGAATAATATAAGTATATATTATATACTTTTTCACTTATTTTAAATTTAATATAAATTTCATTTGGAATATAAAAATTTTGTTTAATTAAAAACAGTTATTTCAGTTGAATTGACTAAAGCAATAATATTATATTAAGAACTTGTGAAATTTTAATTTAGTGAAAACTTTGGTAATAAAATTGGTTCAATATTTTGCCAAATCATAATACTAGTAGTTAATAATTAAAGTTTCAAGTATTTAATACTTCAAAAAAAGCTGCATACATTTCGTATTGCGTATTTCTAAGCAAAGTTGTAAGATTTCATCCGTTGATGACTTTGTCTGAATTCATTTGTTAACAATGTATGTAAAACCAGAGCTCATTTCCTAGTCGAACAAATTCCTTGCAGAAAAACAATGTTTTGATCTTTATTTACAAAACACAAAGTAGATATCGTACGTGTTAAGAATCCCGAATAAGATATTTCGAATAATACTGAGAAGAAGAAATAAATAGGATGATGGTGGTGTTGGTGGTGCTGGTGGTGTAGGAGATGTGTATTCAAACTAGCCAAGCGGGAAAACATTTCTGTGTAAATGACACCTTGTCAGACACGCGCCTGTAAACTTATCACAAAAAGTCTTAGACGCAGACCTACAACAGTTTGAACGAAGGTTCTAACACTTTAGTACGAAATTTCTATGTAAAAAAATATTAGCAAATATAATAAAGACACCTTTCAATAGCACTATGAAAGAAAACATGCATCTGTTTTTATGTTCCTGTATGGCAAGTTATAGTAATCGCAAAAAATTTTTGCATATCTTTACGTTTCAGAACTTTCTGAACATTTTGGCATACCTTATAAAAATGGATGTATGTGTATGTGTATATGTGTGTGCGTGTATCTACGTAAGTGCGGATACAAATTTTCATCGACGATTTTGCATCAAACGATTTAACCCTTTTCACTCGCGAATTCCGAGATCTATATGAGTTTTGCCTACGGCATCCGATTCAAAAATGTTAAACGGTTGAACAAACCATTTGATTTCTATTGATGGGGATACGTGCTAATTACTTTTTGGCTGAATTTTAAACAGATTTTAATAATAACAAATTTTGATCATTTTGTTATGGGTTCCGTAGTAATGTTTATTCGTAATTCGATATTTGTCTTTAAAATATCTTTGTAACTTGATTGCTTTCAAAACTAGTGGTTAATGGCATCGTGCCTCAAGACAAATTGCTAAAAATTCCTGCACCAAAAATTTAAATTTTCTAAAAAGATTTTAATTTTTTTTACACATTGAAAAAAATTGATTTTCGAGAAATTTGAAAAACTAGATTTTTTTTTAAATCGTTTTTTTTTTTTTAAATTTTGAACTTTATTTCACGCGTGGCAATTTTGGAGATAAAATATCGAAACGCGTAAACGGCACGTCGCAGATAAAGAATAAATATCAGTACAGAACCCATAAAAATATAAACATTTTTTATATATATAATATTATTATTTGAATTGTGTATAAAATATTTGATAATTTGATGTGCATATGTCTAATAACCGCCAAATGGTTTTTTGGTAATTTTTTGACCTGCCTTCCCAAAAATTTACCAAGTTTTTTCTTTGTCAATGCAAATAAAATGCTTTTTGAATCTTAAATAGAACGCTGCCTTCTCTAAAAAACTAAGTCACTTTTTGCTCCGTATATTCCAAACGGCTAGACCTGCCTTTGCCAAAAACTAATCAGCACGTTCCTTATCGATAGGAATCAAATATGTTTTGAATCACTCATCAACCGAGATCCGTGTTCTCGAAATCGTCGACAAAAATTTGTATCCGCACATACATACACACACATAGACATGCATTTTTATAAGGTATGCAAAAAATATTCAGAAACCTTCAAATATAAAAATATATAAAAAATTTCATTGTCGAAAGTTAAAATTTCAAAATTTTCAAGAAAAATTAATAAAAAAATCTAATTAAAAAAAAATTTTTTCTTTAAATTGTCAAAATTTTTCAAAAATCGTATTTTTAACTTTCCGTAGGGTTGTTATAGTAATGAGTCGAAAATAAAAAATTTTGCATTTCTCGACGTTTTGAAGGTTCTGAACATTTCGGCATACCAAAGAAAAAATGAATGTGTTGTGTGTTTTGTATGTCCGCATTCTTTCGTCCACGTTTTCGGGCGCACGGATCAACCGATTTAAATGGTTGAAAAAACATTCGATTCCTATTGATAGGTAGATGTGCTGATTAGTTTTTGGCTAAGGCAAGTCCAGCCGTTACGGAGATACGGAGCAAAGAGTGCAGAAAATAGAAATCGAGTTTTTTGAGAGGACGGAGCATCTGATTTGAATGATTTAAAAAACATTCTATTTAAAATAATTGGGAAAAGAGGTGATTAGTTTTTGGCGGAAGATATAGAGCTAAATGTGCAAACAATGGCAGTTTTTGAGAGAACTAAGCGTCTGATTTGAATGATTCAAAGAACTTTCTGCTTGTAACAACAAAGTA